TGTGACCGGCAATTGACCATTGAAGAATCCTTGGACCTATCCTCTGACCACCTGCCACTAATAGTCACAATCCACGCGCAGCCACAGCCCTTGCCCATTAGGAAACAACTACTGCCAGCAGGATCAGATTTAGGAGTCTTTAGGCGCGAGCTCCATTACTCTTTGCACATAGAAATGGAACTTAACACTCCTGAAGACGTGGACTACGCAGCAAACAAACTGCAGGAAGAAATAGTCAAAGCTGCGCACCAAGCCGCCCCACCATCTTGCCAAACAAGACAACAGTCTCCGTACAACATCCCCCTCACCTTGGAGGCCCAACACCTACTAATACACAAAAGATGGGCCAGGAGACGCTGGTTAAGATTACGCACGCCTGATGCCAAATCCATGTACAACGAAGCCACGAGGCATCTTAAAGCTGCTCTCGCCCTGCTTCAAAAGAGGTGTATCAGCGATGCGCTGGTACGAGCTGAATCGCCCACTGACGCAGAGTTTCAATTATGGAAATTTACAAGAAAGCTCAAACGGCAGCCAATACGACGTCATCCCATTCGGAGCATTTCTGGTTCCTGGCACATTGGAGACGAAGCTCAAGCTGAGGCTTTTGCAAACCACCTTCAAGACCAATTCACGCCGGTGATTACCGCAGAGGCCTCAGAAATCGAAGCAACAGAAGACATCGTTCTCTCGCCCCTCCCAGCTGAAGACCAGATAACTGGATGTACAAAAGAAGAGGTTCTTGAACACATCAGAAGAGTGAAGGCAAAAAAATCCCCTGGATATGATCTAATAAACGGCAGAGTCCTTAGAGCACTGCCTGACTCCACCATAGACTACATAACTATGGTGTACAACGCCATGCTCCGCATCCGGCACTTTCCAGCCTGCTGGAAGCGCGCCGTGATTGTGATGATTCCTAAGCCTGGCAAACCCGTGGGAGAAATTGAGTCGTACAGACCAATTAGCCTGTTGCCAGTACTCTCCAAAATATTCGAAAGAATATTTCTGGAACGAGTACTGACACATCTGGGACGCCAGGAGGCCATTCCAAACCATCAGTTTGGCTTCAGGAGACAGCATGGAACACCGGAACAGGTTCACAGAGTTGTGCACCATATCCTTGGAGCCTTTGAAGAAAAGATGTACTGCTCTGCCGTCTTTTTAGACATCAAACAGGCGTTTGATCGAGTTTGGCACCTGGGACTGCTGCAGAAAGTGAGGACCACCCTTCCAGCCCCATTTTTCGCGTTGCTATCCTCATACCTTATTGGAAGAACCTTCCAAGTGTCAAGGGGGCAAACAGTATCCTTGACTAGACCAATTATGGCTGGAGTACCACAGGGTAGTGTTCTAGGCCCAACACTTTATACTTTATTCACAGGAGATATGCCAACTCCCGAGCCAAATATAGGAAGTACAGATGCAGTACTCATAGCGACCTATGCAGATGACACCGCCATCTTATCACGTCACGTATCTGCGCAAGAAGCTTCAGACTCACTACAAAAATATCTGGACTCTTTCGGACGCTGGGCAAAACGGTGGTGTATCACCATTAATGCACAAAAGTCTGTACATACTACCTTCGCCACTAGAAGAGGAGATTGCCCAAGCGTTGCATTGGGGCCCACTATTCCCAAAGCCTCAAAAGTAAAGTACCTTGGTATCACTCTTGACAGAAGGCTGACTTTTAAAGCGCACATAAGTCAAGTAACCTCAAAATGCAAAAGCAAGCTAAAAACCCTCGACTGGATGCTGAGAGCTTCAAGCAAGTTGTCTTACAGCAGCAAGGCCGCCATCTACAAGGCAATAGTTGTCCCAACCTTCGTATATGGTATCTCTCTATGGGGCTCCTCGGCGAAGACTACAAGGAACAAAATTCAGACCCTGCAGAATAAAGCACTACGCAGATGGACTGGAGCCAGCTGGTTTGTAAGAAACTCAGTCTTACATAGGGATTTAGCAATTCCCACAGTTGCTGAACTCATTGGGCGACACAGTTCAAGATACGCGGACAGACTTGCAGCGCATCCTAACCATCTCGCAAGCAACCTGGCTATAAACAACAATAGGCGAAGACTGAAGAGATTGCATCCTCTAGACAATATTAGAACTAATTAAGATAGTAGCTACAAGTGCAGAATAATTGGCATATCTGCCCTCCCATTAGTTAAGGTTTAGAGCTAAATGCGCTATAGAGTCTAAGACAATAAGCTGCAACAAAATAAAGAAATAAAAACGAAAATTTGCTCTACTGAGGCAAACGCACAGTGAGCGCGCCCATGAAGAGTGACATTCCTTCGCTTACAAAAAAAAAAAAAAAAAAAAAAAAATATATAAAATCGTAATCCACTCATGACAGTTATTCAAAAAAACACAGCAGCTACGCGTCTTACACAAAATCCACGCGCTCGAAATCAAAAGCTGAGTGTACAACTCGCTGCGAGTCCAACGCGACAACTGCCCCAGCAACATTTCTCCGTTGGAGACCCAACAAGTGACTAACATTGTGACGCAGCTATGAACAGTGGAACAAAATTAAAGCAATCAAAATATAGTAGATTTATGAAAACCGAAAACCGTAGAGAGCAACTGTAGAGCCTGAATTGAAAACAATCTTTGAAAATAATAATTAAAACTGTTTCAAATATTAAAAACTTTTCAAAATAAACAAAAATTGTATTCAAATAAATTCTATATCATACTCACATATCATATAACTATGTTTATTTATTTATTTCTTTTCATTTTTCATTTCTCTTGGACAACTGTTTTTCCCATTAAGTGAATAATAAACATCTCCAAGTATAAATTCAACAAGATTTTTGTTGTTGTTGAACGCTTGCTCTTAATTGAGTTCACAGTGGACACTTATCGCATATAGAGTGGACAATGGGAAAATTGTATTGTTTTTCTGGCAAATGTCATTCTTACTTAAGTAATTCAAATCGAATCAACTGACCTGGTAGACTAAACAGCTGCTTAAACTTTATATTACAACATATATATATATATATATTATATATATATATATATATATATATATATATATATATATATATATATATATATATATATATAATATACCCGACTATCACTCGATCTATATATATTTATTTCTATTAAAAGCGAGAGATTTCAGAGTTTCATATGCAAAAAGTACACAGCTCCAATTTGTACCATTTCTGAGAACTGGGCAGAGTATTCCATCAATAAAACTACGCATGACTTCTATATGTTCAGCTTGTTCAGACCATATTTATTACGAGATATTGAAGGAATATAAACAAGTTTGTTCCGAGTACAACTTACGGGAAGAAGTGATTCACATTTCAAGTCAAGCTTCGGGTCTCGAATAATATGTAAGCTAAAGTCTAATTATAAACAAGTAAAATTATTTTGGCAGGGAGTGTTCTGCTATGAAATACCCTCACCGCATGCCGACAAATGTTTCCTGATAGATAAAAAAATATTACTCATACTTACTTTTATCGAAATCCTATTCTCATTGCAGGCTTGGGCAAGCTCTTAAATCCGGACTTGGAGATCGCTTTGCAGTTCTGTTCGCATTTGGTTTACGGATATCTGGGCATTCGCGGTGACAACTATCAAGCGTACAGCTTGAATGAAAACTTAGACATCTATAAACATCAATTTTCGGAAGTAACTGCTTTCAAACGAAAGTTTCCACACCTTAAAGTTCTGCTTAGCGTGGGTGGTGATCATGACATCGATGTGGAACACCCAAACAAATACATTGAGCTGCTCGAAGGAGAGAAGGTGCGACAGACGGCGTTCATCCAATCAGCCTATTCGCTGGTGAAGAACTACGGCTTCGATGGCTTGGATCTGGCATATCAGTTTCCGCGCAACAAGCCCCGAAAGGTGCACGGTGAACTGGGCTCGGTGTGGAAGAGCTTCAAGAAGCTCTTCACAGGCGATTTCATAGTTGACGAAAATGCGGCCCTGCACAAAGAGCAGTTCACAGCGTTCGTGCGTGATGTGAAGAACTCGCTGCGCAATGATGGATTTCTGCTCAGTTTGACGGTGCTGCCCAATGTCAACTCGACTTGTGAGTATCAAGAGTAATTTGTTAATGAAATTGCTTGAACATTCGATATTTTATAGGGTACTTCGATATACCTTCGTTAAACGGGCTCGCTGACTTTGTCAATTTGGCTGCATTTGACTTTCTAACACCCGCTCGCAATCCCGAAGAGGCGGATTATACTGCTCCACTCTACGAATTGACTGGGCAAAACCGTCTGCCACATTACAATGTCGATTTCCAGGTTAAATACTGGCTGCAACAAGGCTTCCCCGCCAGCAAGCTTAACTTAGGTGTGGCCAGCTATGGAAATGCCTGGAAGCTGTCGAGCGAGTCCGGCCTGGAAGGTACGCCTGTTGTGCCGCACACCGAGGGACCCAATCCGGAAGGCTTGCAATCCCAGAAGGCTGGCCTGCTTAGCTATCCAGAGATCTGCTCCAAGCTCTCCAATGCTCAGAATCAATATCTAAAGGGAAATGATTCGCCGTTGCGACGCGTGAGTGATCCATCGAAGCGTTATGGTGTCTACGCATACCGTGCCGTTGATGGCGCCGTAACTGAGGGTCTGTGGATTAGTTACGATGATCCCGATGCCGCTTCCAACAAAGCAGCCTATGTGCGTGCCAATAATCTGGGTGGCATAGCTCTGTTCGACCTAAGCTACGACGATTTTCGTGGACAGTGCACTAGTGACAAATACCCAATATTGCGATCCATTAAATATCGCTTGTAAATTTAACTGTACACATATATGAAGGCGTCATCACATAATAAACAGATGATGAATACTCTCAACTTGTCAGTTTGTTTTTATTTTTACTTCAGCTTAAACTAACTTTGCGACTCACTAACTAAATATTTTTATACATTTAAATAATCAACAAAATTTGTTGGCGCTTATCGCGAAACTCTTTATTATTTTTTATTATATTTTTTGAAAGCTTTCAGCTTGTGAGGCAAATATTAAGTTTTGTAAATTACCCGAACAGAGTGATCTCATTGAACCCAACGTCATATATTCATTTTTCACTGTACACACAACACAAACAATTCCAGAGAAATTTTTTGATAATATAGCGCCTATTGTTCGACCCACTCGGTCTACGGCAAAGCTCGCTTGGATGCGATTTCCGTTGTCATTTGAATTTAGTCGCGTCTTGTGTCTCGTTCCGTGCGGACGTATTTAATTGTGATCTGCCTCCCCCTGTCCACACATCTGTTGCTCTCGCCTTTGCTCTGTGCCGCTCTCCAACTCTACAACAATGCGCTCTCTGTGGCTCGGACTAGCAGCGTTGACTCTGCTGCTCTCAGAGCTGCCGTCGAACGCTGCGGCTGCTCCACATCTCATTTGCTATTACGACTCGGCTGGTTATGAGCGACAAGGTATGCATATACATACACTTATTAGAAGCTGCTCTCCACATATCGCTATCTTCGGGTTGCTCGCTCTCTCTCTCTCTGTTAGGCCTCGCTCAGTTCACACTCACCGATATGGAGCTGGCACTGCAGTTTTGCACTCACGTGATATATGGCTATGCTGGCATCAATCCAGACACCTATGAAATGAAAAGTCTAAATCAACCGCTCGACTTTGAGCGTCGTCATTTTGCCCAAATAACGGCACTTAAGGACAAATATCCATATATTAAATTTCTGTTAAGTGTAGGCGGTGATCGTGATCTGGAAGATGATAAATATGTTAGGCTGCTGGAGGCTGGCGCCCAGGCCCAAACACGCTTTATCAACTCGGCTAGAGATGTCGTCCGTCGCTTCAATTTCGATGGCCTGGATCTGGCCTTCCAGCTGCCACGCAATAAGCCGCGAAAGCATCACTCCGATGCCGGCATGGCCTGGAAAAGCTTTAAGAAGTTTTTCACCGGAGACTTCATTGTGGACCCCAATGCTGAAGCGCACAAGGGACAGATGACCAATTTGATAAAGGATCTGAATAGTGCACTGAAGGCCAACGATCTACTGCTCAGTCTTACGGTTCTACCCAACGTTAACTCCAGCTGTAAGTTTGTTAGGCTTTCTGATCCACGTCTCAGCTCATTTCATCTACTTCACATCTACAGGGTATTTCGATGCACCTGTTATCGCTGGCAGCGTTGACTTTATTAACCTCGCCACATTCGACTTTGTGACGCCCGCTCGCAATCCCGAAGAGGCGGACTTCTCGGCTCCGCTTTACGAGGCTTTCGGACAGAATCGCCTGCCCCATTACAATGTCAACTTTCAGATGGAGCATTGGCTGCTGCAACGTGTGCCGGCGAGCAAACTGAACATTGGTGTTGCCAGTTATGGACGTGCCTGGAAGTTAACAGCAGATTCTGGCACCAGTGGACAGCCTGTTCTGCCCGCTGATGGTCCAGCCCATGCGGGTCCACAAACCAAGACAGAAGGACTCCTGAACTGGGCTGAGATATGTCAACTGCTGCCCAATCCTAGCAATGTGAATGCCAAAGGTCACGCTGCTCCCATCAAACGTGTGCCAGATCCCACCAAGCGCTATGGCAGCTACGCCTATCGCGCCGCTGATGAGAACGGCCTCTATGGGCTGTGGACCAGCTACGATGATCCAGACACAGCTGCCAGCAAGGCACAGTACGTGCGCTCCAAGAATCTCGGTGGCATTGCCTTGTTCGACCTGACACAGGATGACTTCCGAGGTCAGTGTACCGGTGATCGCTTCCCCATGCTGCGCGCCATCAAGTACCGACTACTCTAATGCTGCTGCATATATAAACATATCAAGTAGCCGTTTTACCAAATGATCGAATTGCAAATTGTGTCGCTGGCTACCGAGGCCAGCCGTCTGTCAGTTCTCTTTACTAATTAATTACAAAGTTGTAAACTAAAATGCGCCGCAAATTATTTCATTAGCCTCTGGGCACAACTACTGCTTTTATGTTATAGCATTGTATTTGGACTCGGTCTCGAACGGGCATCGGGCATCGGGCATCGGGGATCGGGGATCTGGGTTAAATTGTCTTTCTGCGCTTTGGATTTCGATGGCACCCAGCAGTGAAACGCCTTTATCTTTTTCGCCTTGCTTCGATCTTGCTCGAATGGTTTTTTCGTCGTTCCCTTTGCTACAGCTTGCTATGCCGTTGAGATTTACAGAGATTTCGGCACATGCCGCGACTCTGCTTGCGCCGGCGCGGCTTGGCAATTGTTATACCCTGTATCGAATGCCCAAAGATGTGTATGCTGTTCTGCGAGCACATAGGAACAACAGCTGGGCACAGGTACATGATATACGCTAGTCAGGCACACTTGACTAAGCTTCTTGTATAATTGGCAAAACGCTTTACAAGCTCTATACGCGCACTCGTTTCTGCTGGCAAGCCTTGTTGGGGCAAGCCATTGGCTGGCTTTTCGCTTTTGTCTACTTACAGAAGCCCAACTCCGCAGTTGGACACCAGCTAATACTGTGTGAGAGAAATCGATTGCTGATCGATGAACAGTTTCGATTTCAGCTGACAACGACACGAATTTAAACAACTAAATTAAGTTATTGTTGCCGTGACAATAAGTTAATGCATTGCACGAGAATAATGTCTACAGCTTATGAGATTATTATTAATCTCGCTCTGCTTATAAATTGACAGAGCATCAATTGTTGGCTGCAGTCAAACAAAATGTTTTCAGATTCGACTCATTGGGCTTCGATCATCTTCAATCTGTGCCCTTACATTCAGACATATATATCGGCAGTTATCAGTTGCATAAAGTTTCTAGTCAATTATTGAATTGATGTTGAAATCGTGTTCTCATTTAGCGCAACGAAACTATAAAATTATTCGCAATTGGCGCAATGCCCTGGCAGAATGCAAAATATGCATTTAGTGGCAATTGATCGTGGCGGCTACTGGCCAGATCTTGATGAAGCTCACACACATGCACACACAGTGAAATAGGTCCTTAGTTAGGGCTGAAAAGTATCTTCGGCATACGAGAGAAAAAATGGAAAAGCAACAACAGAGCCTACAAGTTGTAAACATGGCATTGTTTAGCAAAATCTGTGGCCAACTTTACAGTCTCAGATGCCAGGTTGCTGCTATATGCCATCGAAGGAAAGATCGTGTCTGCTGTTCATAGCTTGGCTCCAACTACCGATTCCCAACTCCCGACGCCCGACGCCCGATGCCAGATTGCAGCCCCCTCGGTAGCTTGTCGCCTTATCTAATTAAGGCACATTGGCGGTAGTGGCGCAACAAGACCTCTGCATGATATTTGCTTTGCGATTATTGGCAGCCTGCGCCCCATGCGAATGACAAATATGTTGCCTATGTATGCTTCCCCATGCCGGTTGCTCGCCGAGCTGCTGCGGCTGCTGCTGCTGCTGCTACTGCTGCCTTCTGTGGAAGGCTCACAGTCGCCAGCCTGGGTCTCTACCTCTTTAAATAAAGATATTTTCGCCCTCATTACGCTCTGTGTCCTTTTGTTTTGTGATTTTTTTGTTGTTGTTGTTTGCGGTGGCCGATGAAGTGTCGCTGATTGCGCGTTGTATTGTTTTGGTTAGTCGAAGATGTCCACGAGGGCGATAAGAAATGCATGCATGCATGTACGTTGCTTAAAGTCAGGATTTGGTCAATTTGCGAAAACTCAGATACCACTGATATTATTAGCTGCAGCGCTGTCGCCAGGCTTAGAGAACTTTTTGTATTCATTTTGCAGGAGTTTTTTGCTTTTTGCTAAATACTTTCAATTGAGAATAATCTGAAAAAATAAGAGATTATATTTATTAGCTGCATGATTCTTTAATCAAGATTCTGTGAAGCAAGCTAATTTTGTATATTGACTAATGTAATTATTTTGATATTATTCAAGGCAACAACTTGACAACTAAATGAATTTTAAGATTATTACATAACGTTTAATCAAACAGCTTAGAAATATATTCAAATTTTCTGCTCAATGATGGTCCCAAATATTTTATTAAATATATTTATAAATAAGTTGAATGTGGCCAAGTTGCTCACTTTATAAAGACATCTATACTTATGAGTAAAATTGCCATAAACTTCTGCCAAATATTTGGCATAAATGAATTCGTAAGGTTTTTATGCCTTGATTATTGTTAAGGTTTAACCTTTTTGACTCAGTTGTTTTATTGCTATGTTAATTTGAAATAAATCACGCGATTTTATGGACCTGTTGGTCCGAGACACATGTTTATCTTTCTTTCTTAGCATCGTTAATCGACTTCATATTTAACAAACCACCGTTTGAGCTGCATTCAATTGTCAGCGGGTTGTCACACAACGTGATTTAAGCCAAGTACCAAATGTCGATCGCAAATCGCCAACTGGCGCCAAACTCTTTCAAGCATTCTGCCCAGAGCTCTTCAGTCTTCAGTTTATAGATTTTTAACACCCAGCTCGTGGCTGCCGGGTCATTATTATTCTGTATATTCATTGTTATAGCTGCTGCTTTTGAATTTCTGCACTTCACTCACTTGGAATGAGCTAAGATGGGAAATAAAAGAAGATCTTTATTACATAACTGTAGAAGGTTACGGGGCTTACATCTCACTGATCATGTTCAGACGCTAGCTACGATTTTAATGCCTAAGATTTGTTGAAAATACAGAAAAACCAAAAATCTTAGTCAATTTATTATAATTTAAAAAAAATTAAAAAATTAAAAAATTAAAAAATTAAAAATTAGTTTTATGGCATTTATTTTTGTCTTAATTATAAAAATATTTAAATACTATTTTTAATACAAGTGCAAATGCATTTCATGCTTAAATGTTAACTGATAGTTACCTGAAAAGCTGAAAAAAAATTGAATTGAATATCGTAAAACTTGACCAGTTCCAGTTCCTAAATTTCATGAAATTTTATTAACTTCTGCTATGAAATGCAGTTATATTTAACTCAAGACGCAGCACGATGCCGCTTAATTAGTTAAGCATTGGTTCGATCAGGCGTGAAATATATTCACTGTGCATGAAACGCGTCAAATAAATTTGTCATAAATAGTAGGCGAATTAAAGTTGGTAAATGAAACAAACAGGTCCAACAATTTTGCAACAACAACAAAGAGAGAGAGAGAAAGAAAAAGTGTGTTAAAAACTAAAAGTTTTGTTTATTTTTGTTCAGATTTTTCGCGCCAATTAAATTCAATTAGCTGTCGGCGGCGATGCGTTTCTCTATGATGTGGATAGCTAACCATGTAATACACAGTTCTAGAGTCGCCTTTGCCAACTCGCACTCATTTTACCATAACAAATGTACGTTAGTGTGCGTGTGTGTGCGTGTGTGTGAGGGTGTGTACCACCATGTGTGTAACGACCATAATAAGTTGTAGCGCCACTGCGTCATAAAAGGTTATTTTAAACAAATAAACACGTGGAATTAATGAAGAAACGTGTGTGTGGCGTTTAATAGCTTACGTATAAATAAACAAGTAGGAGTGCTCTGTACGAGAGTGTCCAATAAGGCGAGATACCCTGTACCCCTTGCCATGCAAAGTGAAAATTGTTGCGATTTCAATCGAATTTCCTTCGACATTGATGCCAAATAATTGTGATAAAAGAAATTGTTTACATTTAAATTTGTCATTTATGGATCCATCAGATATATATGCTCGTGAGCAAAAATATTCAAAGAACGATAAAAATATAAACAGAGACTTTAAGCTGAAAAATATTTATATCCATATTTCGATATAATGGAAAAATATAACGAAATAATATATAAACTCTTAGCAACAATGCCAGCTTTCCATGTTCAATTTTAATATTTATATGCTATCATTCGAAATCAAAACATATATATTTTATGAGCTCACATATGTCGCCTGCTACCTCTTATATATTTAATCACAGCTCAAAGCTGAATACAGAGTATTCACTTGTTGGGCAATCACGTGTAGACTGCTCTTACCTGTATATCTTGGAGAGATATCATTGTGTGAATACCGTGCCAAACAGTTGGGCATCAAAGAAATTTTATAGTACTAGAAATTGCAATAAAATATCTCCAGTTGGCTCTAAATTAAATTTAGAAATTAGCAAATGTTTATATGTATGTGCGTGCACTTTAAAGTTGTAGACAAACAGAGGAAAACGATTTCCTTTAGTCTTGCGGTCACCAATGAATGAACGTAAACATTTTCAAACTTTTAATTGCCACACTAAAAACGAAACAAAACATGTACGTATGGACGGCCGGACGGATGGATGGATGGATGGATACAACGTGTGAAACTGTTGGAGATTAAGAGCGACTAGCTGGCTGCAAAAGACTGAAAGACTGGACAGAATGGGGGCTGGCTATAATGGATAAAGGAGGCAGACTGATGCTGATGCTGTTGCTGATGCTGATGACGACGCGCCTAAAACAAACAAATAAATGCCAAGTAAATGGCCAACAACGACGCTGGCGGCACGCTTTGCCTGGTCTTAATTAAATCAAGGGAAAAAGAAAACAATAAAAACTACATACAGCCATCCATCGGTGCGGGATCGGGATCGGAATTGGTATCGAGTCTGCCAGAGATTTTATTACACACTGTGCGCCATGCAATAATTCAAAAAATACTTTGCAGTATATCATTATAATCAAAATGTTTTACAACGATGTCTACCACCCAGCGTGCGTGGAACGTCTACGCTTTTGGGGTATCCGGCCACACTAGCAGGACTTATGATTCCCCATTCAAAATGTTTAGATGCACAAATAAACAGTCGTAAAAATTCCCCTGCTAGGCTGTGAGCTCGTGGCATTTCCATTTCAATTGTAAACATCTATAAACTTAGTGTGCCAATATTTTCCAATGCGAGAGCTATCTACAAATTCACATACAAAATGCAAGAAAATAGTTTCTGACATTGGCTGGGGTCAAATCTATGAGTGAATAC